GAAGATGCCAAGAGAACAGAAGACAAAGCTAATTCTGAGGAATCCCCTGCTACTAAAGAGTCCTCAGCCAGTGAGGGCGGTGATCAGAAAAAGAGGTTTGTTTTTTCTCCGTTATAGACCAGATGCTATCTTTTATCATTGGTCATTAAGTGATGCGAATAAGCTGTTTCCTTCAATTGGCCACCGAGACTGATGAAATTGTAGCCTGTTCCTAAAGAGTGTGTTTTATTTCTCCATGTGCAGATATTTTTAATTTTTTTTTTTAAACACAGTGAGTTTGATTTCTTTCCTGCCTCAACCTTCAAAGGTTGTTCTCCCAAATTACTCTTATTTGTAATCATCATCTTAATGTAAGTCTGTTTAAGAATCTGACTTCATTGTTTCTTGTCAGATTTCTTAAGTATACAGAGATGTGTTTTCATTTGCAACGTATTTTCTGGTAGGTATTTAATTTTAGCTTTTTTCATAATTTATATTAAGTCACTTTCATTTCTGACTTTAATAATATGGTGTTTTGTCTCTAGCCCTGTTGAGGAGGAGAGAGATGCAAAGATAACCTCAAAAGATGACAAAGGTATGCTTGTTTTCAAAAGTAGAATTTTAATGGTTGCTTGGATAAGTACTGGATGGGGTATTTCAACAGGAAAAGCATAGCAGTCTGCTGTTGTTAAATAGTATAAATTCACCTCTTCCTGGATTTTCTTTATTCATACAAAACTAATTACTTTCCTTTTATGCGTTTTTTAAGAATGCATTGCACTATTTTGTTTGTAACTTGATCTCTGAAGATATACATTAGTACATGGCAAATATGTCTTTTATGGCACTGAAGATGCTTACTAACAGCTGTTAGTGAGTCAAGAACCTTTTGCAATTGTTTTTTCTTTACTATACACTTATGATTCTTCACACCGTCTTCTGTTTTGCTGAAGTAATTTGAGGGATCTAGTATTCACATACTAGAATGGCAGAAAAACTTACAGCTTCATGTTTTCTTCGAGTTTGATTTTATTAAATCTTTGTCCATGCAAAATCTATTTGTGGTGCAAATGTGCATCATAAGCAAGAAAAAAATTTCTTGATCAGCAGTCATGTGTCTGCTCCTTCTTCTCCTTGTGCTTCTTCCTTTTAATACATCAGGCATCTGAGTCTTTGCAGCTCACCCCACCTTTCTGTTCTCTTCTACCTGACCAGGGTAGAAAATGTACAACTGACTGTTAACATAAGTTTTACACACTGCAGGCAGGTAGTTCAACATAATAATAATGAGCAAAAAACTCATTATGAGATCTGTCTACTGATTGGACAGGAAGAATTTGTTTGGGTTTAGTTGGGTTTTACAACAGACTCAACTCAACATCAGCTGATTTTTCCAGGATCCGGGGTTATACCTATTTGTGTAAGCTACTGGACCTCACTGTGAGCTTCATTAGTGTCTTCTCACCCTAAAGTCTGTAGTCTTGTGTTCTCTTATTTCAGAATATTTAAAATGTTTTGTGCATGCTGTTGCTTACCTGAGAACTTGGGTATATTTTTGTGGACTGAGAAAACTCTTGAACTTTGCATTCAAAACAACCAAAACCTGGGTATCTGATAACCGCCTTGCTCCTGCATACCCTTCTTCAAAGGATGTGGTGTGTTCTGTAACATTGGGTTTAATCATTTTCTGAGTTAGTAAACATCAGTGGGGAGAGGCAGCTACTAGACTATGTGACATTCTCTACGTATAGAGCAAAATGATTGAGCCAGGATTCTGGTGCCAGTGTAACTGCAGGTAGTCATTTTGAAATCATAGAAGTGATGTGGAGTAAAATCATGAAAGTCTATGGCTGAGCTCTTTAAAATACCAAGACAGTGTATCTCCCATGTGTTTGCATGCATGATATACCTTAGTCCAGGCACTTCTTGAGATAGATGAGGGCAGGTATATATCTATTCTCTTTCATACAAAATACCTCTTTTTTGTTTGTTGGGTGGGTTTTTTTGATTTTTTTTTAAGATATTGATGCAAGTGATTGCATCCTTCCCTAAGAAACTTGTATAAATATTAACAACTGTGATCTCAGTGCTAAGCTCATGCTTGTGACAATAACAAAAGTTATCGGGAAGTAAAAGATGGAAAGACACATTAAATAGCATTTTAGAAAGGTTCTGGAAAAAATATCTTCCCTCAATAAAAGCAATTCTGTGGAATTCCATATATCACCAAAAAATAAAAAGGCATATGGAAGCAGATAGCTGGAGTGAAACTTGCTTCCCTCTATTCATTGAAGCCTTGGAACTGAACACTGCCAAGATTGATAAAAGGATAATAAAGGCACTTCAAAGGAGACTGGAAACAGTATCCTTACCTAAGTGCTTTATGCTGAAATGCAAACACTAAAACTTTTGAGTACAGGTCAAACACTTTTTAATCACTGAACTTTGGGTTTTCAGACTCTACAAGTTCATAAGCAATTATATATTCCTCTTTCTAGTTTAGATGCAAAATTGGATGGGTGTCCTATAGTTCTTGGCGTGGTTAAAACAAGCTAGGTCTTTTCAAACTCCTCTTAATAAAGTCACTTCATATTCGAACCGTGGGATCTGTGTGGGCAGAAATAGGAGAGCAGTTTTCTTGGTTTTTTAATGGTGAATGTCTTTCCTTTAGAGGTATAGTTATTCTGCATCCCATCATCATTCCTTTGGATTTCAGAAGATAAAGAGGGCAAGATGTGAGCATAAATGATTGCTAATAATTCTTGCAGATCTTCTGTCTTTTCTAGTTAGTGGAAAGTTACTGTCGATCCAGGTACATTTTGAAATGCCTCGGTTACTTCAGTGGTGCCCTGGTCGAGTTGCTTTCTTGACGAATGATATAACATGCTTCTATATCAACACTTGAGGTTCCATCCAAGTTTTGGGACTTGTAATGCTACTTTCCTTCAGGAATGCAAATCATGGGAGGAGAATGTTACACATTGCATTTCACTTGCTCTGTGATATTAAAAAATTAAAAATTTGTGATACTGCTCCTTTTTAATTCAGAAGTAGTTGTTAATTAGGATTTGGGGTATGTTCTGGTTTTTGTTTTCCTAACTAGGTCGCACTGCTAGCAGTTCTGGTAGAAACTTCTGGGTGAGTGGACTGGCTTCCACTACCAGGGCTACAGATTTGAAGAATCTGTTTAGCAAGTACGGAAAGGTAAGGGATTATTTTTGTTTGGTTTGTTGTTGGGATTTTTTTTACTTGAAACTGTTAGTGAGACTTCTTAAGCTCCTGTCACTGAAAGTACCGATGAAAGGAATCCAATTATCAAAAATATTGTGGGATATCAAGGAAAAAATTGTGGAAGTACACACTGAGTGACTGAGGGTTTTTTATTCAGTTGCTTTCTTCCAAAAAAAACCATAAAATTCAATTTGCAGTCCTTTATTTGAAACGGTCAATAACTGTTTAAACATATGTTTGTCTTCTGTGCAGTAGTATAGTATCTTTACCCATTGAAAATTCACGGTCAGTGCTGAATTTAATGCTTATAAAAGACTGCCTTAGGACTTGGTAAAATATGCAGTAAGTGTTGAAACACAATTATTTGGGAATATCTTAAGAATTGCCCTGGTATCTGAAGTTTTATTTTTATTTAGGGTTGGCAGTTGCTTTAAAAAGCACTTGTTTGGATAGCTTGGGATATCAGGAGGTGTTGTTTTATTTCGTTGACAGGGGGGGTCGTGCTGTTGTTATTAATGACAGACAAAATGGCAAGTTAAATCCTCCTGTCAGTTGGAAAAGTGAAAAAGCTAGTTTAATAGAAGACTTAAATCAAAGACAACAGTAAGGATTCTTGTAAGACCTTTGAAGCCTGTTTAAAGATCTGAAAGTTTTTACGATCAAGAGACTGTAGTAAAAGAAAACTGTACGTGCAAGCAATCTGCCATTGAATGTTTTACCAATGAAAATACTCTGGAACTTAAATATGACCTTAAAAATAGGTACAAAAATGGATTAAGTGTAGCAAAGCTTTGAGTTTTTCTGCAGGTCACGAGACTAGTAAAACCCTTTTAATCCTTCTCATAACAATAAAACTGCAATGCTTTCCTTCCATTTATTTGCTTAGAATTCCCTCTGGTAACCTAGAACATTGATCGTAGAGGTGTGCCACAAAATTTTAAATGTAACTAACTAAAAACTAAGTGACAGCAAACCTAGTATTTGCCTCTACATAGATGCCATAGTAACATTTAGTCATTTAAATAAAATGACAGTTATTTTCTTTAGGGTATTAGCAGAGGCAAAGCTTTCTAGAAGGAAATGCACACGTGCAATAAATCAAATGCTTGGAAGTAGGTTCTTCATTCAGCTGTGCTTTAAAATACGACACTTCTGTGAAATATGGTTGATTTCTGTAACGCAAAGTGAGCTGTATTGAACATAATGAGCCTAAGTAAGCACCATTTATGTGGGCTTTTTCAAGCTCTACTTTTTGAGGAAACCTCCTGTTTCTTAAAGAAGATAGCAGATAACATGGTTGGTCTGCCTACATGCTGACATGTAAGCATTTTTTTGAGGGAAGATGGGATTTAGCAGTTGAGCTAGCATTAGCATGTATGTGGAAATCAGCTTAAAAACTTCTATTGTTTTTTAATCTTTTATACTTGAACAAAGTGGTGGTGTTTATGTAAAGTTAGATGCCTTTCTTTTTTTTCTTTTTGTCCCCTTGTGGTCTTTCTCCAGAAAAGAATTCAGTCTTTGGCTCCCATCTGTTGATGCAGCTTTTGTAGTGTTCCATTGACAACAGAAGCATCCTTGCAACACTCGTTTGTGTTTGTTAATCTCTTAACAGCAGAAGTTTCCTGAATGATAATGGGCAGGAATTAAAAAGGGTAGAAAGTGGAGCTTGCAGTTCTTGGTTGTTACAGTGAGTGTAACACATCTTTATTTTGGAAAGGTGGTGGGTGCAAAAGTGGTCACCAATGCTCGCAGTCCTGGTGCTCGCTGCTATGGCTTTGTTACAATGTCTACTGCCGAGGAAGCAACCAAATGTATCACCCATCTCCACAAAACAGAGTTACATGGGAAAATAATTTCTGTAGAAAAAGTGAGTACTTATTCTCAAAGATACCAAGTTCCCATCAGATTGTACAAATGATTGAGACCACATTCTCAGCTGATCGTGTGCAAAATAAATTTCAGGCAAAAAATGAACCTGCTGGGAAGAAGACAAGTGAAAAAAAAGAGAATGAAGCAAAGAGAGAGACAGTCGGTGAGAGGTACTGTTCTAAAAATTCTCTGTCCAAAGGTGTTTTGCTGTTCTTCAGTCTATGTTGATGTCAGGGAAAACCAAGTTACAGTAAGAGTAAAAAGTTTCTGTGGCAAACACTCAAAAAGAGGAGTACGTGCATTTTTTAATTTTTTTCTACAAGATAAACTTCTGTTGATGTTCAGTGCCTAGTTTAACAAGTCTCTGTTATGTGCTTTAAGGTTTCAAGCATACCTTTTAATTTAGCTGTGTTTGGGTTTTAGTAACAATGGTGGTGCTTTCATGTCTTAAATCTATAGGAAAGACCATTTGAGGGTTTGATCTGTATGTCCCTGTTTCTTCATTACTTTTTGTCTCTTACCGGAATAGGGTCTCCTCCAGTGATGGTGGGCACAAACAGTTAAAAGAGAGTTGTCCAAGATCCTGTTTCCAGAACATGTTCCTCTTCAGCACTATGCTTTTTCTCTCTGGCATTACTGAAAGTAGCTCAATAAGACACTAGGAGAGTGAATAAGACACTAAGACCTTTGCTTCAGTTGTCTTCTTGAGGCATAATTTCTGTTAATGCTATTTGCTGAGAACTTTTTGCTTTTATTTCACAAAGTTGCCAGACAAAACCAGTTCACATTGGCACTTCTTTAATTGTCACATTGTCTAAGAAACTTTGTGGTATTAAGTTTATCATAGTGTGAATTTTTCCTCATTCCTCCAGTTGAGAAGCCTGAATCAAGTGTTCTGACAACTGCACAGGATGGTCTGGATGTCTTGTTTTCTGGTATTGGATGTTGTGGAAGGAAATGTTTGGAAATCTAATTATGACTGTTATCACATCAGAATTCTACCTTTTTAGTGTGTTGCTAGCATTCTGCTTAGATTTCCTTTTCTCTTAGTCTGTATTAGTCTAATCTATATCAATATCTATCTATAGACCTGGCAGTGGTAAAAGGGACGAAAAATCTGACCAAAAAGATGATCCTAAAAAGACAGAAGACAAAGATGAAAAGGAAAAAAAAGATAAAGATGAACAGAAGTCTGGTTCATCAGATCAACCAAAAACTATTAAGTCGGGTAATTTGGCTATTCTTGTTTCATAGAGTAAAATATATTTTGATGTATGAATATTTAATTTTAGGTAGTTCTTTCCAAAGAACTGCCAATGTTCTAGGATTGTTTTTGATTCTTAGTTGGAAATCCAGAGTGTACAAGGGGAGGGTGTTTTGAGGAGGGAGACGTTTGACATTTTGTTATCCTTGAAAGAAGCACTTGGATTAGGTGTAGTGAAATAATTGGTTTCGAAGAGAGGGTTAAATGTCCATTTTCACATTTTAGAGAACATAACTTATAGCACAGCAATGAGTTTGGCGTAGGTTGTGTAGTTTGATTGTTTTTTTCCACCTCTGATTTATTTAGGAAGTAAAGGAACAGAGAGAACAGTAGTAATGGATAAATCCAAAGGAGAACCTGTTATTAGTGTGAAAACATCAACTACATCAAAAGACAGAGTGAGTAATGTTTCTGTGTGGGAAACATTTTCCTTAGAAACAAATACTGAATCCTGCTAGGCTACATGTAACCCACACTTGTCTTGCCAGTTTGTCCAATTAGAGTTTCTTTAACATGGATTTACATCTTAATTAGTAAAATACCTTTTGCTTGGCTGATACTATAGTCAGCAATCAAATCCTGCCAAACAAATGTGGGAAGGTATTGCTGTGTTAATACATAGCGTGTCTGTAATGTTAAAAAAAAAACAGCTTTTTTGAGAAATGCAGGGACCAAGCTTTCAGATATGATATGTACAAATGGAAACAGAGCTTAGAGTATTGTTTGTAGTAGTTGTCCTTTAATAAATTAAGTTTCTCTACTTCAATATTAAATACAGAGCATTAAGAGCCAGGATCGCAAATCAGAGAGCAGAGAGAGACAAGGCATTGTGCCATTTGACAAAATTAAAGCACAGCGAAAAATGAGGGAGGCAGAGCAGCGCCGGTAAGAGCAACTATGAAATTGTTTGACATTTTTTACCCTATAACGCATGTTTTATTTTCATTTTGATTAAAATGACTAAGAGAGAAGAGGATTTCAGGGGTTTTTTTTCACTTGAAAGTTAAATGTTTCTGGGTCACATATCTATTGAACTTTATTCAGGTATTTATTTTGGGTGGGATTTTATTTTTGTTTTCATGATATTTAATACAGGATAAAGGTGATAACGGCCATCCTTCAAATTCCTTGCTAAAACTGACTTGAATTCCATGTTTTCCACACATTACAAAACTTGGATTCCTCACCTAAAAAGTACTTGAATTAGCCAGGAGGAAAATGCTTTTGTCATTCTTAATGGAGAGGAAGAAGTTTGTCTCTCATAGTTAGATTTCTGAGCTTGAGTGAAGTCATTATCCAGCATACCATTCTGGCTTTCTTGGCAGAAATAAAATATTCTTCACAGATACTCTATTTCAGTATAAGAAATGAGCAATGGGCATTTGGATTCAAATTCCCCTGACTATACAGAATTGTTTGCCCCCACTGGTGGGTTTTGTGGGAGTAATATGATCAGTCTCTTAAAACAAGTAATTCCTGCGTATGCTGAGTGTCTTCCCTCCATACCCTCCCTCCTACACCCTTCCCAGGTATAATTTCAGTCATTGTGCTATTAAGTTTTAACACTTCTTTCTCTCTCTTTTTCTTTTTAACTTCCTTTGTTGAAGTATTACATCTGTATCCTTTTGTTTCTGTTAAAATAGGACACGTGAGCGTCGGGAGAGACAGCAGCACCTACAGACTATCCGTGAACGAGAAGAAAGGGAGAGGCTTGAGATTGCTCGTGAGAGACTGGAAATTGAAAGGCAGCGTCTTGAACGAGAACGGATGGAAAGGGAAAGACTGGAAAGAGAACGAATGCACATAGAGCATGAAAGGAGAAGAGAACAAGACCGCATTCAGCGAGAAAGAGAAGAGCTGCGGCGCCAGCACGAGCAACTGCGCTACGAACAGGAACGTCGCTCTGCAATGAGGAGACCGTATGACATAGATGGCAGGTAAAGCCAGCAAATACAGATTATGCAAGTGGAAGACTTTGCTGCCAGGTTCTGTCTCATCAGCCTGGGCTATAAAAAGCCATACTTAGGCTCTCACCTTCCATCAGTCAGCAGTTGTTGATTGCGTTGAGCTGACTGTGTTTAAGAGGCCTAGTCAGTCTATCCTCTCTTAATTTTTTTCAACTCCATTTTGAACGTAATTACTTTTCTTTTAGTTTGCACTAGTTTGCACTTTAGTTGGGAAGGAGGAACAATATTAAAAATCATTATCTGGACTAAAGTGAGTACGTTTTTTTCTCAGGAGGGATGATCCGTACTGGCCAGAGGCAAAACGAATGGCCATGAATGATAGGTATCACTCAGATTTCAGTCGCCAGGATCGCTTCCATGACTTTGATCACAGAGATCGCGGTCGTTACCAAGAGCATTCAATAGACAGGTTGGTGTCTTACCTCCACTGTATTGCCTGAAGTTAAAAGACAAAAAACTGTATTTAATGTCACATTTTGCTGCCTTTACTGTGTGCTTGGTTTGCACTTTATTTTTCAAGTGTAGTTTAGTGGCTGTGGACCTTTTCATCTATAACCATGAAGAGATGTCTATTGTACCATGAGTTGAAGCTTCTGGCAGGCTTGTTCAGAGTTTTTTTACAATGCTGTTTCACATACTTGTAGGATTCTGAAAAATTTCTAAATAATTTGAAGGCACCTAGCATTTTAACAAGAATATTTTGGTTTATACCTCAGGACTAATTGGTTTTCCAGGAATCCAAAATGTGCCTTGGTTTCCATATATTCCAGCTGTTTGTGCCTTTTGTAGATGTTGGCACTATGAGGAAGCAAGATTTTTCACCTATGTTTATAGATAGATGGATTTTTATAAACTGCCATATGTTTTACTACCACAATCTGATTCTAATTGTCTGCTATTGTAGGAGAGATGGATCAAGGACAATTATGGGAGATCGGGATGGACAAGTGAGTTGCTTTATAGAGCTACGGAAACATCTTAACATCTTATAACCTGTTTTTTTATAGTGTGTGTCAGATTAAATTTCAGTAGTTGAGAATTACATGATATCTCCCAAAATACATATCAGTAATCAGATTATCTTGTTTACTTCAATAAGATGAAATTCAATTCAAAGACTTATAATAAAAGATATAGTTATTCTGATAGAAATCAAAACAAGTGAATTGTTTCAAAATAGAGTATTCCAAAAGATGGCGTAGAAGAGGCAGAGGTACAAAGTACACCTCTATGAGGTTATGTGGAAATAACAGCAAAATTAGTAAAGATGTTTACACTTTCTGAGGGCTGGGAGAAAGACCTTCAGGGCACATTCAAAGAGTGAAAGATAAAGAGTCAGGGAATGCTCAAGTGCCCTTTACTGATGGTTAAACCATGAGATTTGGAGGGACCTGGATAGTCTGGAGAGTTGGGCAGAGGGCAATATCATTAGGTTCAACAACAGGAAATGCAAAGAGTCCTGCTTTTGGAGAGGAATAACCTTGTGCAGCGATACATGCTTGGGACCAGCCAGATCAAAAGCAGTTCTGCAGAGAAGGACCTTGGCACTGTGGTGGAGAGGATGATGATAATGAGTCAGCATTGCACCCTCCTGGCGAAGAAAGCCAGTAGCATCCAGGGAAGCAATTAGGAAAAGTATTGCTAGAAGGTCAAGGCCTTTTTACTCAGCACCTGTGTGGTGTTCTGTGCCTAGTGCTGGGCTCCTTGGTACTTATTGGAGTAAGTGCAGTAGGGCCTAGAGAGTCTTCCGTATGAGGAGAGGCTGAGAGAGCTGGGAACTGTTGAGCAAGGAGAAGAGAAGGCTGATCAATGGGCATTAATACCTCATGAGAGAGAGGATATGGAAAGGATGTAGCCAGGTGCTGCTCAGTGGTGCCCACCAACAAGACAAGAGTCAATGAGCACAAACTTAAACACGTGAAATTCATCTAAAGATAATAAAAATCGCCTTTAACTGTGAAGGTGGTCAAATGCTGGAACATGGAGAATTTGGCTCTAGCTGTGAGGAAACTTAAAACCCAGGGGAAGAATCTTCTAGGCAGCATGCCCTGGCTGATTCTGCTGGAGCAGGAGGGTTGGACTAGATGATCTCAGGAGGTCCCTTCCATCCTAAATGGTTCTGAGATTGAGTAATTACAGCTGAGCAACTTTAGGAAATAAGGTCTGTTTTGTGCAGTCCTGTAAGCGTTCCTTGCCTTTTAGCATTACCCAGATGAGCGCCATGGAGGACCAGACCGTCACTCACGAGACTCTCGAGAAAGTTGGGGTAGCTATGGATCTGACAGAAGAATGAGTGAAAGTAGAGGGATACCCCCACAGTCACGGTTAGTACAGTTAACTAAAAACTACATTTTCTAGTGCATCAAAGGAATATTTCCATATGTGAAAGTAGGACGCAGTTTTTGGAAGTACAATTCTTTTTTTCCAACATTAACTCCAAGTGTCTTGGATGGACTGCGAGTAGCTCATGCAGCTTGCCTTGTCCATCAAAACATGCATCTTGGCATGAATTTTTTTTGCTAACCACACATCTTTAAGTCTTTGTGCTTTCAACTGATTTTAACTAACATTTCTATCAAAGCTTGCTATTATCAGGATAGTGGTTCTTCCCTGATACCTTTTTTCATATTTGTCATCTTATTTGGTTTTAGCAGAAGGATTCTACTGAGATTTGACTTAACAGGTAGCAGTATAAATATAAGATTGCATGCACCTTGGTAAAGTATTTGAGTAGGTTTGTGACTTAGTTTCTGTACTTGAATCTATTTTGTGTGCTCAGACTCATGTGAGAAGATATGAATTTCATACCTTCACAGGGATGGACGTGACTGGGGAGATCACAGTCGAAAGTTTGAAGGACACCAAGATCGTTCCTGGCAGAGCAGCGTGGATGGAGGAATGATAGGACGGGATCATGAGAGATGGCAAGGTGTGGTTCTTGCACAACAATTCATTAGTTGTGCTATGTAAAGAAGAAGAATTACAGGCATTATTACTGAAGTAAAACTATTATTGTAGATATAAAGGAAGCATTTGAATTTTTTTAGGTGGAGGTAGAGGGAGACCCGGCCATGTGATGCATCGTGGAGGCATGTCAGGGTAAGAATTTCGAAAGGAGAGAATGTTTGTTTTCCTTTTACAGGACATTTCTTCTAAATAGAAACTGGCCAAAGAAACACTGTATGGGAGTATTGGCTTTTTAATTCATTACTTAAACGTCAAGGAATAATAAAATATTCCCATGGGTTTCATGTAATGCATCTAATGGAAGAGTGAAAAATCAGACAAAAAATTGTGGAAGAACACCCATACTAGCAATCTGATCTGACTAGCAACAGAGTCACGAGAGAAAATTAAAATGTCTGAATCACTTTCTAGGCGTGGCAGTTTCATGCAAGGTGGCAATCAAAGTCAGATCATGCATGGAGGAGGAATGCAAGGAGAAGGATTTGCTGGCCAGGAGAGAGCAAACAGACCGAATGATCCTCGTTTCAACCGTCGCTACTGATTGTGTTTAATTTTTAATGCAAGGTGGCAAGTGAAACAAATCTGTTACCCAGGGTTACCATTAATCGTAACTTATGGGCTACTGTAATTTTTTTAAGCTGCTGCCATATTGTCACTCAATCCAATGTGAATTCATTTGTTTTGTAAGGTGTTGTTCATATCCCATTTAAAATGTTTGTTAATGAAGCATTCCATTTTGCATAAATAAACGCCAGTTTACAGTTAATTTCTGTGTTTCAGCAGTCCCTGTAAAACTAATTTATTCAGATGTATGTTAAACCTTGTAACTTTGTTTCAAAGATGAAGTGTCAAAATGCCTTACAAGTGTCCTTTTGCACTTTCAGTTTCACATAACTCCCAGAAATACACTGAAATACTGTGTTACCTTAGACCTGGCAAAATTAACTAGCCTACAAGCCACCAGAAGAGAACCTGCACAAGTATCTTAGCACCATTATTTTCTGGGGTGTGTACATAGGTAACTATGACAGAAACTCCTGCAAGAAAAGTTGTGCTGCTTCAAAGACAGTTGACATTGGGAAGTTAAGGAAGCAGTGGGGTATGGATAGAGGTTATCAAGGTTCTAGAATGAGGTAAAGCATCTGGCACCTGCACAACAGAGAACTCCAACGTTTACTAAGTTTGTAGCTTCCATCTGGACCATAGGTTTGGACCCATCAGGAATTAACTTTTAAGCACTTTTTAAAGCCATTTATACCTTAGTCAAATCCTCTGAAATCTCTTGGCAGTTGGTTTCATCATATAGCTGCTTGTTAAAAAAGGAAACAAAACTGAAAATCCTTCATTGTCGTGTTTTAAATCTGATTCCTAATTTGAGTAAGCTCTTACCTTGCTCTCCCTTCCTACCACTGCCTGTTTCCTGTTCTGTAGTTGTGCCTAGTTAGCACATCAGTGTGGAAGAAATGCCAGCCCTGCTGCCAGCAGCGAGATCAATCCCTGTCCCTGGTTTTAGAAGCATGAGCAACAGCTCTGGGACAGAGACCCAAGAACAGAGAGGTTACAAGCTGTGCATTTACAATAACCCATCTGATATATACAGACGCTTCCTGTGAGGAGGGAACAGATTCATACTTGTCCTGTGCCATGATATAATGACTTCACCAACCTCCATGCTACAATCCCATCACAAAGGGTTAAAAATAGACACTCAGTCTGTAACTTAATCTTACAATAGTGATGCCCTCTAGGCCATTGGTGCTCCTTCAGTACACCTTGGCTGTGACTGAAAACTGACCTCGGAAAAGTTTTCATCCACACGAAAACATGCAGAGTCTGCCAACTGGAGCATATTTCAATCTAACAAAATGTTTCACGCAGGTTCAAAATGTTTCATGCTCAGTTACTCTCCCTGTGCTTGTATAAAGGCCCTAGGCCATCTTTTACAGCATCTTTTACTGTTACCTTGGGTTTTGGTTTTTTGGTTTTTTTTTTTTTAACTCTTGTTGGCTTGTTTTGAATTAGGTGGCATTCACTTTCAAGATTAATTCAGCTTCAGAACAATCTGTTTAGCTACCAAGCTTGGCAGCTTTGGAACAGAGGCAGAACCTCAGCATACGGCCAATACTTCATTACACAAATGATCTGTGATCCCCTCTAGGAAAAAGCAATTGTTCCAGTCTGTATGCTAAAACCAATCCAAATACAAATTGAAGTTCCAAAGTCTTTTATTGTAGCCCTTACACAGCTGAGCTGCCCTCCAGAGCAACGGACTGTGCATCCTCTCAAAGAAACATAGGACAATCATGAACCCTGGAGAACGTGTTCATTTGACAAGATCCTTCACATACTTCCAGCCTTCCACCGTGTATTCACAGGCCCTGGCCGGAGCTACAGACAAGGCAGACATGACTGACTGCACTCCTGCAAGGAAAGCAGAGAAGAATTATCCCAAGATCATCATTCAAGCCAAATTTGCCAGTGTTACTCTAGCATTGTAGATCTCTAAACACAGAGAGAAAAACTGAGCTCTAACTCAGATGCTTTCAAACAAACACCCTGTGGCCTGAAATATCCTAGGTTCAAGTACAGCTTTATTGTCTCAGTAACATTTGTGACACAGAAATTCCAACTTAAGGGCCTGTATATGAGAGGAAACAATCACAAGACTGAAACAAAGAACGGGGCTAAGTTCCGTTTTATTTCCAGCTTTGTCACAGACTCCATGGGTGATGCTGGACATGTCACAGGATCTGTGTACCATGTTTCCCCACAATTACACAAAGACTCTTTGCTGCACCATAGGAACTATGTATTTATAGAATACTATAGAAACTAGGTATTTATATAACATGCTTTAACCTTCAAACAAGATGTCTAAAATTCTAATAACAACAGGAATGCCCATCCTTTCCGAACATTCCAGGGCTCAGTTCAGACATACTAGCATCTCTAGAGTCTTCAACCTTTAACCAAAGGTACACCTTTCTTAAGTTATCCTTTATTTTTATCCTCTAGTTTCCTTGATCATTGCCAGTGCTGATGAACTCACTACTGCATAAACTCTACTTTCTTATTGTGGGGGCCACAGGCCTCCCTGAACACTTTACTGAAACTTTGAATCATCTTTCTTAGATTCTAGGATAGCATAAACATGCCTGTCTCGGGGCAAAGGTAGGCAGCAAGCTTTGCGGGTAAAAGAAACACCAGCTCCCCTGTTAGAAAAGGCAGCCAGGTTTATGGACACGCATCCTCCTCCTTATTTCACAACTGAAACAACAAGAAATTAAGTCCAAAGTCAGTCAGTGTACTAGTCTGAAGCAGAATATGCTTCCTCAGTCCCAGTCCCAATGCTGCTTCCACTACACTGAAACAGCTATCAGCTCCTTCTCCATCATTCAATTTAGGAGGATAATGTTGAAACAAGACTGCTATAAGCTACATCACTCTTGCTCCTTTCAGAGCTTGGCGAGCAGTTATTTTACCTTTATTCCAGGAATCAGAGGGGGAAAAGTCAAATTTTGGAGTGGGTGGGAGCTAGAAAGAGAAAGACAAAATATCAGCACGTGAGGGGTTTCACTTAAGAGTTCACATCATGTTGGCAAAGCCTCTTGACCTCAGATCTCAAAAATACTTAGGTGCCTACTCTCCCTAAGTCTCAAAAGGGATCAGACATGACACTTTCTGGGGTCTACTCTTTTCCCCATTATCGAGTAGGGGCAGAAGATAGTACAAATCATTTGGGTGCTTGTGAAAAAACATCTCCATGGCTGTCTCCTTACCTGGCTGTCATCTCTTAGTTTATAGTTGTCTCTAACGTGAAAAATGCTTTTCAAACTTGAAGCAAAGGCTTCTTTTCTGAGGATTTTAAAAACTAACAGATGAGGGCCTCTTCTGTTTAATTTAAATTCAATTTGATGAACTGCTGGCAATTTGAGAATATGGGAGGATAATATTTTCATTGTTTTTTCTAAAAGCATGTAGGATTCTTCAAAAGAAACTTAGGAATACCACTACACAGTGAAATGTCACCCAGAGCATGTTTACAATCCCCTCCTTGACTCTGCATAGGCTGGTTACCCCTTCTCCTTTCAAGTAACATCTGTGAGCCATGTATCTCCCCCAAATTTAAAATTTTATTCTCCTTCCATTTCAATCCTCTTCAAAATACTTGCAATGTTAAATCTACTTTCAACAGTAAAACTTCTGCCAACTTCACTGGAATCAGAATATCATCCCAATGTTTCCTCCTCATTCAATGTGTTTGTTTTGCAATGTCCATCTGAACAGCCCTTACCTCCCAGCCTAGGTAACTTGTCCACTCCTGGATAGCTGGAGGCAGTGCTGCTTGAGCTTTTTTGAGTGCTTCAGCACCTTGTGTGCCACTGCCCAGCAGCCCCTGATCATATGCCACGTATACAGCAGCTCCAGCCAGGCTTCCTTTGATAATAAGCCTGAAAGGATCAAAAGCAGAACAGTTCACATTATGACCATATTTCTCAGTAGGTTGTGACTGCCAAAGGGAAGGTATCAGTAAAGAAATCTAAGGGTCACAAATACTCTGATGTCTTACTGCAGACAAAAAGCAGCAGAAAAATATCTAGCTACCCTCCTTTTATTCCTAAGACAACTACTCCCTGTTAGCCCCTTGAAACTGCACCTATTCGCATTTTATCAGTAACAGTTTTCATGAAAAAAATGTGATAAATGTTGATAAAAGGAAATGAAAAAAGGCTGATAGAAGGAACTAAAGGATTCTGCAGTGGGTAAGCCATCCATGTGGTTCTTGCTGCCTTATTAATAAGGAATCTGATAGACACCGATACCTTGTAAAGCTCAATAAAGTCCAGTTAACACCTGGCTATGGAGTTTGCATTGCCCAGGCTTTTAAAGTTTCCCAGCAGACTGCATGGTGTGCAGTTTTACAGCTGTAGTGGCAACCTACAAAACAGATGACAGGAAGATAATATTTGGCCTTTACCGGCAATTTCGTTATAAATAAGAGATCTGAAGAGACTGACTTTTCCAGATTCACAGGACAGAGAGTTGTTTTCCCTTTAAAAAACCAGGAAAAGCTATTGTATGAACCAACCAACCAAAACCTGCCAGACAGTGATACTGCAGTAGTAGAACACACGGACAGATACAGTTGTCGAGAGAGGCAAGAAGAGAATCAATACTTAAATTCATGGATTCACACGTATTTTGGGAAAAAGGGATTTCTCTGCTGAAACGTACTGTTCGCTCACAAGAATACCCTTCCGCGCTTCCTCCCTGCCAGTGCGGCTGTTATTTCCAGATCTGAGCGTGTTCACTCAGCAAATGGGCGCCCTTCCGCGGCACTCTGGGGTTAACGTTACGTGTTCATGCTCGCCCCGAAAAAAACCGCCGCAATCCCGTCCGGCAGGTGAACACAGACGAGGAGCTGCCGAACGGCAACCAGCCGGGAGCGGGGGCAGCCGAGGCCAAGGGCGCGGCGCGGAGGTGCGAGGCGAGGCCGGGGCTGCGGGCACGGGCCCGGAGAGCCGAGGAATCCCGGGCGCGGGAGTCGGGGGCGGGCGGAGAGAGCAGAGCGGGAAGGGCGAGCGCCGGGCCGGGCTGTGCGGGCAGGGCCGCGGGGACTCACTTGGCGGCGGGGACGAGCCGGGCGGCCATGGCGGCGGTGGCGGGACTGCGGGAGCCGTCACGTGTCCCAGGCCGGAGAGCTCCGCCCGGCGGCGGCTTGGGGGGCGCGGCCAAGAGGGCCGAGGTTGTGGGGGCAGGAGGGACTGTTCAGCTCCCCGTGCTCCCGCGAGGAGAGCGGCTTCCGAGCGCCCCGAGGGCGGCTCGCGCCCTCTGAGGCGGTGTCCCCGCCGCCAGT